TAGTATTTTTTGTTCATAATTATTTTAAAAATTATTTTTAACTTTTTAGTTCGATGTGCTTTAAAAGCGTGTTTTTTTAGTTTTTTAAACTATATTTTTAACACGCTTTTATTAGTTTCACATGTATGTTTGTGAGTTGTTTGTAACTTTCCACGCGCAAGTGTCCTACGGCCTTGAGACTAGACCAGGGATGGCAAATAAGTGGCACGCGTGCCAAGTTTGGCACGTATGAAGTTTTCGATGGCACTCGAAAAACTTTCATTTGTCCATACATATTTATAGATTTTTAAGTAGATAACATTCAATAAATTAATTATCAATGGCACATATTAATAATCTATATTTCACAACGACGTAATGTTATCTTATCTTAATTATTTTAAAATATAATTTATATGGTCTAATGTAGTGGGACATTAGATTTAAGATTACTAGAAGTATGTGGATAAATTAGAACTATATAATCAGTTTTCGTTCGTGTATTGAAGGAATACGACAGCGTGCAAGTTTTACGTTATTAGTGTATTATAGTTATATTAAAAATGTCACATACAAAAAAACAAAAATTACACGATGTTCGAAATTTTTTACCGTCATGGACAATTGAATATGGATTTATTAAATATGTAGATCAAAGTCGATGTGGTTTGTGCTCTGAAGTTATTGTGTCTCGGACATTTTCTATCAAACGGCATTTTGAAACAAACCACAAAGAAATTTCTGAGTTAAATATTGCCGAAAGAAAAGAAGTTATTTCTCAACGCTTGAAGGCAATTGAAAACCAGTCTAATTTGTTATGTAAATTCGTAAAAACCTCTAATAATGTCACTGAAGCAAGTTTCGAAATTTCTCATTTGATTGCCAAACACTCGAAACCATTTTGTGAGGGTGAGTTTTTAAAAACAGTCATGTTAAAAGCTGCTCCTAGTTTGTTTCAAGATTTTAATAATAAAGATAAAATACTTCAAAGAATTCAAGAATTACAACTAAGTAGAAATACTGTTAAAGAAAGAATTTTAAAAATGACCGTCAATATTTCTGATCAACTTCAGTCTGATATTAATAGTTGTAATTTTTTTTCGATTTGTTTGGACGAAACAACTGATATAAAGTCATCTGCTAGATTAGCAGTTTTTGCACGTTTTTCAAATGGAAATGAAATGCGCGAAGAACTTTTAAAATTAGCTGATATACCGGAAAGAACAAGAGGTACAGATGTTTGTGATATTGTCAATGAATTAAAAGAACTTAACATAAATTAAAAAAAAATTATTTCTGTCACGACAGATAGAACACCCAATATGACTGGAGCACAAATAGGTTTTGTTAAGGTATTTGAAAAGCATGTCGAACATCCAATAATTGGATTTCACTGCATTATACATCAGGAAATGTTGTGTTCCAAAATTGGTACCAGTAATTTAAAGAAATTGTCAGAACAAGTTAATAAAATTATTAATTTTATAGTTGCTCGTGATATGCATAAAAGTCAATCTAAAAAACTTTTAAATGATGTTAACTGTGAATATGATACTCTTTTAATGTGCAATAATGTACGTTGGCTAAGCCGGCCGTATCGTTAGACAGATTTATAAATTGTTTGGACGAAATTCGGTTATTTTTACATGGTAATAAGACTGAATTTAAAGAACTTTATAATACAAAATGGCTAACAAAATTGATGTTTTTCACAGATGTAACATTGCATTTAAATACTTTGAATAAAAAATTACAAGGACGTGGTAAAACAATTGAAGTCATGTTTGGATTAATAAAAGGCTTTGAAATTAAATTAGATATGTTTATCAATGGTGTTAAATCTGGAAATTTTCTATACTTCCCGAAACTGAAAAAAATGTTGGGGGAAGTGGACATTTTTGAACAATCAAATTGGGATTTTACCAATGAATTTTCAAATATTCTTGGTGTTCTTAAAGAACAGTTTTCACAAAGATTTCATGATTTTAAAAGAATTGAAAAATTGATAAAAATTATTAACTATCCAGATTTATTTGATGTGCAAGATTTTGACAATAATCTTCTTAATTGGATGGAATTAGAAAATTTAGAAATTCAGTTAATTGATTTGCAAACTAATCCAATTTGGACACACAAATTTGTGAATATGCGAGAGCGTATCGAAAAATTGGAACGTCATCGATTACAGAACGAAGAAACAGATTGCGGTGTTGACAACATAATATTAAAAGTATGGAATAATATTCCAGATACCTTTTACTCCGTCAAAAAATTGGCGATTTCATTGTTAACGATTTTTTCTTCAACTTATGTTTGCGAGAGTCTCTTTTCTGTATTAAATCATACAAATTCAAAGACTAGGAACAGACTAACCGAGAAAGATTCGGCAGCATGTATTGCATTGCAAGCAACAGCATATCAACCAAACATAAAAAAGCTTTCAAGCAATATGAAACAAAAGGTTTCTAACCAACATTAATAATAATAATTTAATATTATTTCCATTTTTACATAATTATTATCATTAATTTTTCATTTATATTTTGTAAAATTTACAAGTAAATTTTACAGTAAAAATTTACTGTTTTGATAAAAAAATTACTAGTGGCACAGCTGAAAATTTTGTTTTGAATTGCGTCATACATTGGCACATTGAACAAATCCTATTTCCCATCCATGGACTAGACCAGTGGTCGGCAACCTTTTTTAATTCTCGGGCCACATTTACAAATTAAAGAGTTCGCGGGCCAGATAAAAAAAAAAATTTATAATTACATTATTTATTATGCAAAAAAATACTATCTAAAACTTAAAATAATAAAATGTATAAAATAAAAATTACAGTTTTTAATATAATTATAATATGAAAGTATGAATGTAATGTATTGGTAAAATGCTTAATGTGATTTTTGTTGTTGGATATTGTTAATTTATTTTTAAAAACTCGACATTCAGAATCTATTTTTCTTTGTTTATTGACGTGCATTATTATTATTCGTTTAAAATTTAAATTAACAGCCAAATAAACGATCACTATAAATATAAAATATAAATTGCAGTATTATAGAAATTTAAAACTACAGACGATGCAAACATCACATACCCGTACGAAAAACGCAACGTAACTGAAAAGAATCGAAAACTGAGATTATAAGTTAAATACACATGTACTTATTATCGGTAATATTATTATCTTATCGGTAATTGTCAAGGTATATATATCATTATAAAATATGACTTATATAAAATACCCGTACCAAAAACGCAACGTTCAATTATATTTATACAAAATGATATTCAATTAAATTAGTCGATTTAGAATTTAAAGCGGGCCGTATTCAATAGCCACGCGGGCCGCCGGTTGCCGACCACTGGACTAGACGGTCGTAACGCATTCACCCCAACCCGCTCACCACTCGCCAACAACACTATTTTCCTGTATAATTTTATTTTTGGTTTTTGTACCCGTATACGCGTGCGTGTCATCAATTATATATATATATATATATACAACAAATTTTTATTGTGATTGACACAGCCCCGCGTCGTTTCGTTATACACGATGCCCCACGACTCGTGCCACCTTTATCAGTCGTCGCCCTATTTTATGAGTATTTCACTGACCAACACCGCGCGTTATACGCCGCAGTGCAAAGTCCAGCAAGTGCCGCACGACCGACGACGCACAGTGGGACCAAACGCTGATTTAGCCGGCCAAAAGTACCATTTATAAATCAACTAATAACAATTTTTTTTATTATATCCTTATAAGGTCATGTACAAAAATTCAAGGCCAAAAATTGATATAGTAAAGGTTGAGTGCTATTTAAATATCATAACACTGTACTTTTTTGTTTTTTTTTTCTAGGTTTTTTATTATTTCTTTTGAGCCCTGCACATAGAATTTCCCTATAATAAACGTGTATTTTCGTAAAAATTGTAATTTTAATCATTTCATTAGTTTTATCAGTTCGATCAACTTTATCAGCTTTTAAACAACAATAAATTTTCATTACAGTTGATATTCAATTGTAAAAGATGCACTATAATATATTACTATTATTACCAAAACATTTTTCTGTTTAATCAGATTGTGTTACATGTTACAAACAGCGCGTCACGTCATAATAATTTGCACATATTTTTTATAAGTTTCATAGTGAATTAATTGCAGTTTTGTTTTAATTTAATAGTTGTAAAAATTATTCTATTAATTTTAAATAATGGATAATCAAGTATGTGGTAAGTGTTAACAATAATAAACTATATTAACAATAATATAATAGTATGTCTAAAATAAAACAAAATTTAGTGGCACGGTACAATTGTATAACTTATTTTATTTTATTTTATGTATATTATTAGAAACTTTATTTAAACTTAATTTTAACGAATCATTAGTTTTAATTACATTTAATTTTGACAACTTTTAAGCTAAATTTAAGCTAACCTTGAATTTTTGTACATGACCTTATAAGGATATAATAAATAAAAATTTTATTAGTTGATTTAAAAATGGTACTTTTGGCCGGCTAAATCAGCGTTTGGTCCCACTGTGCGACGTCCCTCCGCTAATGATACCGTAGTCTTCTTACCGTTGTCAAAGTGACAATGTCAACAAACCGATTTGCACTCGCTTACCGTCGTCATTTACGCTGCTAACCTTTTGACGCCCGAGGATCGCGCCGGACATCGCGTCGTCGACGCCAGCGAAAGTGCCGAGATATTATGCGAAGATTATATATTCTTACCATCGTTGCTAATATTAATATATATATATTAATATTTATATATACGTATATGTTAATTGTAGTATTCTGTAATTGTCATGAAGGTGATAAGGCCTATCGATAAATAAAATCAGTATGTGCTTGACCCTCCGCCGTGCTGGGCCGGAGCGTTAAGTGATCGATTGTTTTGTTAGTTTAATCGAATAATATTTAATTGTCATATTAATTAATTATAATTATATTTACAAAAAATACTTTTAATGTGTAGTTGTATAAATTTTTGTTATTAATAATTTACACTACATAATATTCATTTATATATCCCTACAGCCAACGCCGTATATACCTCGTGTATAACGTTCCCCCCGCCCACAAAACACGGCTATATCTCGTGCATGATACTTTTACGTACTTAAGTTTCTTTACATTTATATATATATATATATTCTAATTACTATTAAAACTTATACATTAATACGCTTTATTCTCATTAAGAGATATATAGGGTATTTATTCCGATTACAAAGTATGATTCCCGTATCGTCATTTTTCGTCACTACCTTCACCAGAGGCGGAACTACATATGTGTAAAGGCGGGATTTTCCGCGGGCCTCGTTGTTAAAGGGGCCTCATAGCGAAATTTTTAATTATTTATCTTATTTAATAAAAAAATTAGTTCATTGTATTAATCATAGAAATATTAGATGCAATGCATTTTGTAACATTTCAAGTAAACAAAAACATGAGATATTGAAATATTATTATTCTAATATTCACCACGAAAACGAACCGATAAGGGTATAGACTATAGTATATTTTTAAACGTGTTTTGTGTTGTGTATATGCGTTATCTGATGTCAATACGAGAATTATTTATAAAAATATATTTTCTTATCGCTGTTAGGCGGCGATGCGTTACTCGAAATGTATTTTACTTGTTCAGTGGCGGAACTACGTTAACTTTGGTGATTATAAATTATCATTTTTAAGACGATCCTATTATTCGGCGACAGAGAAAATCAACGTCTTAGACGTCATTTGTAGTACTTAGGTAAATACTAAAATTAAACAATCTGATATTAAAACTAATGACTGAATATATTTTTTTACGTACTTACCGACAAGGTATAACATGTAATTATTTAAGTTTAAACATAGTATTAGTAGGTATAAAATAGTATCGTTATTTGTTTTTAATTTAATCTAATACATCATAAAACATTATAAAGTAGACTTAAGATTTAATCTAAAGAACTGATGTTATTATTGTCTATGTAATTTTTAATTTTTTAACCCGTCGTTGGTAAACTTATGTTACGGATCACGATTGCTAAACTGTGAGCACCGCGCTCACACGTTACTTTTTCCTTTATTATTAATTACTCGATCAACTCAAAAAATTGAATCATACATAGAAAAGTATCATTTTGCTCACTACCAATTGGTAAAATATTTTTTGTAAAATACTAGTATTTTTATTATTTATGCGACTGGTATTGTGAGTACCAGGCGCAGGTTCAGAAATGTCACTGCCCGATTCATTTTCAAAAAATTGGACGGGGTCAACACTTGGGTTGACATAAGTCTTCTAAAAACTGTTCTACAGTCTTCTCCAACAAAGATTAAACTTTATTGGCCATTATTTTGAAAAAAAATAAACGTAAGCAATTCAAAAAATATGAAATTGATAAACTGTGAAAGCGACGCTCACTTTATCGGTACAGTTAACTTTGCACACTGAAAACTTGAGGAAATACAGATAGCGGCTTTTTTTTTTGTAATTATTGGTAAGCTTTTATTTGAAGGTAATAAGAGAATCAAGCAAAATAACAAACATTTATGTGACTGACGTTTAAAATGCTATTTGTGTGAGCGCCGAGCTCACATGTTTACCAATGACGGGTTAATTATTTTCAACATAATATTTGAAATTTCAATATTAAATTTATTCTGATATTTCATTTAAAATTCTAATTGCTTATACAAATAATATTAATAATAATATAAAATATAGAAAGAAAACGTATTGTTCTTGTGTTATAATTTTAGTGCACAACTTGACTTTGAGAATTTCGTTTTATAATGAATGGTCCGAATAAAAAAAGATTTGAGAGTGGAGCGAGTAAACGAAAACGTAAAGCAGAAGAAGAGCAAAAGATTAAATTGTTGCCGTCTGTTTCAAAGTACTTTATCAAAAATTCGGAAATTGAACCATCTTTTTCTACAAACTCTTTTTCAGCCAATGTAACACAAAATATGCCATCAAGTCCCTTACCTTCTTCTTCAGTCACCACTATTGCACATGAAACATCATCTAGTTTCTCACCTTTATCGACCAACGAATTTTTAGGTAAAATACCATCCAGCTCTTCATCTTCGTCCCCAAGTAACAATATATCAGATTTAAATTTTTTTACTAAGCTTCTGATGTTACCAAACCCTACTGATATTGGTCATTTTAGCCATCTAAATCAGTTGCCTGACGCAGCAAAAAAATTTATTGTTGAATATGGACCATGCCAACCTAAAGGACCATTCTATAGATATTCAGATAATCGTGTATCTAATTTATCGTTCAATGAGAAATATTATTATTCTGGGTCATCAATGTCTGGTGGAAAGACAATTAGACTATGGTTGAGTTATTCGATTATTCGTCAAGTTGCATATTGCCAGCCATGTACTCTGTTCGGGAATAGATTAAAAAATAAACAAACGTCATGGATTGACGGATTTGATGACTGGGATCACATAACGATTGCTATGAACCGTCATGAAAGTTCTACATTTCATCTTGTGTCATGTAAAGCTTATAATATGTATCATAAAAATTTAAGTATAGACTGTCAAATAAAAAAGCAAGACGCTTCTGAATCTGAATATTGGACCGCAGTTTTGACACGTATAATAGATATATCGATCACATTAGGTGGCCAAAATTTGTCTTTCAGAGGCCATAGAGAAGATGCTAACTTCAAAAATAATGGAAATTTTATGGCTTTAATAAGACTTCTAGCCAAATATGATCCAATATTGGCAACACTTCTAGAGAAGCCAAAGGGAAGCATAAAATATCTTAGCCACCAAATTCAAAATCAAATAATTGCATTAATAGAAAGTGAAATAAAGAAAAATATAATATCTGATGTTACCTCCGCGCCATTTTTTTCCTTAATTCTAGATTCAACACAAGATATAAGCAAGGTTGACCAAGTTTCTACGATATATCGGTATGTACATATAGAAAAAAATGAACTTGGAATTCCTAAAAGTATTGAAATAAAAGAAGATTTCATAGGTTTTTCTGAAGCAGAAGGAAGTACAGGTGAAGCAATAGAAGAACAAACAGTTAAAACATTTAAAGATAATGGTCTTGATATTGGTAAATTTAGAGGAATTGGATTAGACGGAGCAGCAAGTATGAGTGGTAAACATAATGGCTTGCAGGCTCGACTTCGGAAACGACAGAAAAAAGCAAAATATGTTCATTGTGCATCGCATAATTTAAATTTGGTGATAAACGATTCTGTGAAAGATATTACGGAAATCAGACAATTTTTTGAGATGTTAGAAACTCTATATACTTTTTTCGGAAACAGTATACTTCGATGGGCAAAATTGAAAAAAGAAAGCTGTGAAATTTCTAGATCACTCAAAAGGCTGTGCCCAACACGATGGTCGTCTAGAACTGATTGTTTGATATCACTCAACCATATGTACCCAGATGTTATGAAAGTTTTAAACAACATTACGTTGACCGGGCGTAATAAGGATGAACAAAACAATGCCTCCACACTCAAAAAATATTTCGAAAGTTATGAAACAATTATTTTAATTCTATTGATGTATAAAATATTGTCAAAAATTAATTTAGCATCTAAAATACTTCAATCGCCTGGAGCTGATATTGGCAAAGCTGTTGATTTGATAAAAAGCACATTGGAAAATATGGGGAAAATTCGCGATAACTTTAACATTTTAATAGAAGAAGCTAATTCTAAAGCATTACAATGGAATGTAACGCCCGAGTTTTCTTGCATACGAACGAGAAAAGTAAAAAAATTTTATGGTGAGCTATGTCAAGATAAACGTCTTTCAGAAGGAAACCATTATTTTAAAACTCAAGTTTTATATCGATGTATTGATACTGTTGTTACACAATTGAAAACAAGATTTGTAGGCCTTAGTGAAATAAATGATTTATTTAGTTGTATTTTACGACCAACTGTAATATCTGATGAAGAGATCGGTAAGAGTGCAAAAAAGTTGGCAGAGGCATTTGAGGACTTTAATCCAGCAGAACTTACAACACAAATCGAATCATTTAAATTTCTGTTTGCTTCTGAGCTTAAATCTTGTCGCAGCGTTTTTGATATGACTAAATTACTAATAATTGATAATAATAATTTAATTACTAGTTTCCCAGATTTGTTAACAGCATTTTATTTGTTCCTTACATTACCGGTTACTGTGGCAAGCGCAGAGAGGACATTCTCAAAACTTAAATTAATAAAGAATTATCTCAGGAGCACCATGTGCCAAACACGGCTCAGTGGCCTTGCAATGATTTCAATTGAAAATGAACGGGCTAAAAAATTGAATTTGTCGTCATTGGTTAAGTTATTTTCTCAAGATCGTAGCAGAAAAAAAAGTTTTCAAGTATAAGTATATTCATATTTGTAATTTTTCAATTCAATTTATAATTCAATAAGTTCTTAATAAACTATACAGTATACATAATTTAATTACATAATTATATACACATTTTTAAATGTGTATAAACTAAAATCCCTATGTCAGCTGAATTTGGTTACAGATATAATAGGGCCTCCGAAAAATTGTATTCACGGGCCTCAGTAAACGTAGTTCCGCCACTGACCTTCACGTTGCGCGCCTGCTGCTTTCCTTGGATATGGTAGCCGTTTCTCAGACTCCCTCTCCGGAATCGAACCCTGATTCCCCTTTACCCGTTACAACCATGATATTGATAGTAACTACTATTATAACATGTAACTAAAAAGTGAAAAATAAATATAGTTTAAAAAAACTAAAAAAAACGCTTTTAAAGCACATCAAACTAAAAATTATTTTGAACTTTTTAGTTCGATGTGCTTTAAAAGCGTGTTTTTTAGTTTTCTTAAACTATATTTATTTTAATTTGATTTTTAGTTTTGGGTGAAGACAGTTTGTACTGGTGTATGTACACTCCGTAGCTATATAAGTACTTATACTTATTAGTTTTTATTTACTGTTCGCACCATTGAGTAAAACATTGTTCGCACTCAGCGTAAAATTCAAATTTTATCTGTTTGGCGGCATAGGTCCGGTGAGATGGTAACACTTCCGCCCTATCTGCTGTTCATTCTCTTTATCACAGCTGTATCGTATGTCCGTTGCTTTTAAGTTTTTATGAAGAATTTTTTTGTTAAATGTTTTTATAACACAGTCTTTTTACTTTATTGTTATTTTTTTAAATTATCAATTTCCAATTAAATTTTTAGTTTTTGTGTGTTTTAGTTCTATTTGTAGTAGAATAAATCGGTTACTAAGAATAAGTTACAAAATTCATTTGTTGTCAATATTTCATCATTCGTTATTTTTGGTTGTTGTTTACATTTATGTTAAGGAAGTGCCGAATTTCATTATAAGTCTTTTTATTGTTGATGTTTGCAACGTATTATTGTCGAATTTGAAGCACGTCCATGCACTTGGTCAAGTTGATTAAGTCGTCAATTGTTAAGTGCTGTCTGTGATAGTCTGCCCTCATGGGGTTACCCTTGAACTATCTAGTTAAACATATTTTTGTATAATTACGGATCCCAGAGGTGAGTCACGTGGGTAACACCAGCTACTCAGAGCTTATGGTAATGTAGATAATTTTTTTAAAATAATTTTTACAGTTTTGGACCATGTTAACTTAATATTTATTCATTGTTTGTTTCTAATTAAAAATAATATAATTTTTACAAAAAATTTTGATGGGTCAAAAACAGTTTTAGAACGACTAATTATTGAGTTGCAAATATTTGTATACATAGAGTAGGTATGTACCTATAACTTATACTGGTGTAAGTACATTCCATAACTGAATAAGTACTGATACTTAAAATTTTTAGTTTTTATTGACTCATCAAAATTTGTATAAATATATATAGACAAAGAATATCTTTCGCATATGATGTTGTATTTATTAAAAATAAAATAACTACAACATTTATAAATATTATAATATTTATTAAAATAGAATTCTATATAACGTGCTTTAGTTACAACAACAATACATGTGTTGTTGTCTATTCAACTGATTATATGTTTATATATATTTATTATAATTTATGTTGTTACAGTAGATGTATTTGGTGATTTGGCTTTGTAATTGACACTGATTTATAACGTTTAATTGGAAACACTTACAATGAATGTTTTATTTTATTTTATTTGTTATACTTTAAAAAAAAAATTTAAAATATGTTTGTAAGATTAATATTAATAATGATATCTTTTTAGAAAAATTTAATTTGAGTAAGATTATAATTAAACAGATATTTTTATGTAAAGAGGGTAATTCAAAATTTATATAAAAAAAATTGAGTTTCAATTTGAATTTGAGCTGTTGTTGATTGTTCTGTCGTAATCTCCATTTTGGTGAAATTTAAGCTACTGTACTATTGTCCCACTAGGTTTGTTGATATGGTGAGCTGTTTTGCTATATATTTTTGTTTTTCTTGGTTTTAGTTCTAAATGTATTTTTAAGATATTATTTTTCTTTAGATAATGACGCAGTTCGGTTTTTTTTCTTGTGCCATTTAATATTATTCTCATTTTGTTTATTATAATTTTTATACTTCTTTCAATTTCTATAACTTTTATAATAGTTGGCGAAGAGAACCTGAGAGGTGGGGGATTTGTTAATTGGTTGGTATCATAATATAAATCTGTGGCTTGGTGCAAGAAGGGCCAATGTCAAATTTTAACAATGTTCAGGAATTAAAATATTAAATTGGCCAATTTTTAAAATTTACATAAAAATTTTTAATTTTATGTAGAAACTCTAAAAATGCTATTACTTAATTAAATTTTATTTTATTTCACTGTATGGGTCTCATTTTGTTTTTAACTACAAATGTAAAAGTTTTATAACGACATTGGCCACTCAAAAAAAAAAAATTATTTGCTTTTTTTTGACATTGGCCATAAGTTTGATTGCAAAAAATATATATTTTGTTCATAAAATAACTTTATTTTATTTTTAATTCACAATTTTGTCTTTTAGTTTCAATTAAAATAAAAAATCAGTTCATAACATTATTATTTACTATAAAAATTAAAAATATTTCACTTTTGTATGTTTTACAGAATATTTTAAACTTAAAACAACCAATTTAAATAGCACTATATTTTGTATAAACTTAATAAAGAATAATTAATAAAGTACACTTATAAATAAAATTTAGAAATTTCAAATGTTATCACATAGTTTAATTTAACATAATAAGTCTTTATTTTCCTCTGAGATTTCTAACAAATCAGTAACAAATTAGTTTCACAATTTAAAGTATAACAACCTAATAAAATACACTTACAAATAAAATTTAGAAATTTAAAATGGTATCACATAGTTTAATTTAACATAATAAGTCTTTATTTTCTTCTGACATTTTTAACAAATTAGTAACAAAATATTTTAACAGTTTAAAGTATAACAACTTAATGATTAAAAAATACAAATTATTTGGGAAATAGTAAACACTATTTAAAAAATTCAAATCAGTCATCATTTTCTTCAGAGTCTTCTGCATTTCCTTCGACTAAATTAGCCAAAAAACTATCATAGTACTGTCTACTATTTGGATGAATATATGGTAAAAGTGATTGCAAGTCTTTTATTTTTTCAGCAGGTAATGGCAATGGCGTGGTAGCTATTGGTTTTAATACAAAATCGGTTTCTGTTGATTTCCTTAAGATTTTTTTACTCAAATTTAGTTCTAAAAAATCATTTTCATCAAATGAATACTTATAGGAAACGATACCAAGTGAATTTGTTTTATACTGCATCCATTTTATTTTATTCCATGATACAGGTTCATGCTTTGTATTAACTTTGCGATGAACATATTTAATCTTCAAAAGTTCTTTAAAATTTAAAAAGTCATTTTGAACCATTTCTGATACTATAATCGGTGGATTACGGTGAATCATTCTAATAAAATTTACCCAATCTCTTAGTACTTCAATACTGGCACATGACTTTTTTTTGATTTTTCAATTATAGCATGAATAGAATCTGCTTTCATGTGTGTGTGGCCAGGTTGCAAAAATTTATGATTAATTGTCATTTTTCTTCCTCTTGACTGAAATATTTTTACTACTTCCAAAAACATAACTGCCATGTATATATTGTGGTTTTGACCAGGACAACAGCAGTCACTGTATAAATTAACAATCTCTGTTTCTTCTTTTAATTCTTCAAAAAGGTGTTTAAAGATACAAGATGCTATTTCTTGACCCCCTCTGGCACCTATTGTTTCATCCCATAAGTAACAAATAGGCCTAGACTGGTTTTCAGATGTTTCATAAAGAGTCAAATTAAAGGTCCACAGTTGTCTTTTGTAAAATGATACTCTATTTAACAACATTGGCGTGGGAAGACATTTTTGTAGGTCAAATGAAATAGTTGTTATGTTAGAATTAGATAAACTTAGGTTCTTATCTTTTTCTTTTTCCTTATAAGATGCTTCAGCCATTTCCAAATGACTGTTTTTATTTGTTTCTGCTTCTACTCGAGTTTCATCATCAGTTGCAGTTTTCATTAACATTTCATACTTGTCACATTGATTGCAAGTGTCGTTATTTGGTTTTTTAAATGATAAATTATATTCTTCAACAAAAACTTTTCTATACATTGGCTCACTCTGGGCCTTTGTTTTGATATCCTCACAGTAATTTTTATACAATCGATACATTTTTAATATAGAAAGGTCTGGATTTAGATATTTTTTTTCTGAATGTGATCTTGAATAATGGCTTTCAAAAGAAGGAAACATATTAATATGATTACGTATAATTTGTTTGTCTTTTTCATCAGTTTTAATGTGGTTACTATGGTTGCCCCTATTATCTATTTTACACATCCCAGAATTGGTCAATCTTTTATTTTCAACAATATTTCTTACTTCTTTTAATGTAACACATAATGTTTTTAGAAACATAACTTGGCATACTTTTATATTAATTTCAGTCCCAGATGAAAGATAGTATGATCTTGTAAAATTTCTTCTACTCATCATTTTTTTATCATTTCTGAGCCTTTCCAATTTTTTATTTGTTTCAATAACCGATGAAGCTATGAACTGCATTTGACTATCTTTTGGAAGGTTATAGAAATTTTTAAAAATGTTTTCTCTTTGCTCATGAGTAAATTTTTCTGAGCATTTTAGTCTACAAGAACATGGTGGTTGTAAAGTTTTTTTAGCAACTAATTGTCCCTTTGTATTAACATATTCTTCACCTTTTGTTTTTTTTGATTTTTCAATATTTCTTACCCATGTTTTTGGATTACTTAAACGTTTTCTAGTTTTAGGACCCTCTTGTTTTTGACGTCCCCTTTTCTTTTGTGATATATTAGTACTAGCAGAACAACTCTGTATTACAGAATAATTTGTTTCAATATTGTTAATCTCTTGCTCAGTAGTAAAGTTATTATGACGTTCTTCAGAAGTGCAATTTTGTTCAATATTGACAGTACATTTTTCAGAATAAGCATCATTTTGTATTTCTGTGTTAATATTATCAATTTCGTTAATTTCAACACTAATTGAGTTGTCAGAATCCGAGTTAAATGAATAACTATCGATTTTATTTTTACATGGGACATACTCATCTGATGAATAATCATTGATATCAGTGATTGAATCTGAGTCAGTACTATAACATTCTTCTCCGTTTTTACTTGAATTTGCAGACGTTGAACCTGGTAAATTTATTACGTTATCATTACATAAAAAAAATTAACTTATACTTATCAATAGTTATAGAATAAACTTACTAGTTTGACACATTTGCATTAACCGTCTAGTTCTTGAATTCATAGTTTTGATTTGCATTTGATCACATTTTCATTTATAATTATTAGCTTATTACGTAGAAACACAGTAAATGGTAACACTTAGATTTTAGTAGTGACCAGAAAGTATGAAAAATCAAAAATATAATAATTTATTATCAATATAATCAAATAACGTTATCTGTCAGTAAACAATGTGAAAAAGGCCGAAGTCAGTTTGTACCACAATACCATTAGTCCTAACTACACATTGGCCATTTTTTCAATTAATAATTTTATTGATATCTAGCCAATGTAATGATAAGCCCTTTTTTCAAAATAATAGTTATGTTTAATGACGAAAATTAAAATGGCCAATCTTGAATGTAAGTTGGTCACACTCCTTCTAATACATTAGCCGTTTTATTAGAATATAAAAAAAGAAAAAACGAAAATATTGGCCCGATAATCTCAATTTCGTCAAAATATGACATTGGCCCTTCTTGCACCAAGCCACAGAAATGTATTATACCTTCTTCTAAACATTTGCTGTGTAGTAGTCGTCTTATTTTCCTCATGTTGCTTTTGTCAGGGAGAGATAGGTCTCCACTGGATATTTTTTCAGCAATTTTCAGGATCCATGGTCCACAATCATAGTTGTTTTCATGAATTGTAGTCTCTCTGAATATTGGCCATATGGATTTAGATCTACTTATACGTTGTTCATGTTCTATCATGAACTGTTGAAGCTATGTTATGTCCTTTTTATCATGACAATCCAGGCTGTCATTGCAGATTACTTCGCGATGTTGTATGTCTACCACTGCTATGATCCAGTGATTGTTGTTTATATATATTGGAGTATGTGCCATGGTTTTTGAGTGAAGATTTTCCTTAAATCTTGTGTTGATGGTGTCGAGTACACTTCTATCAATCTCAGGAATTGAAAAAATTGTTGAAAGCAAAAATTCTGTCTACAATTCTCTTCATTAATAGTTTCATGAAGCAATTTATGGTTTTGTCGTAAAGGATGTGTATGTGATGGAGACATTTTTGATACTTTAAACCTAGGAAATTAAGTACAATAGTTTAATATTTTGTTATTTATTGATTTAAAGGTGATGAATTGATTTTTTGTTGTTTTTAACAACATTTAATTAATTTAATTTACATTTGTATGACCTATAAGTATATTTTTTATAATTGAACATGTAAAATTTGTATGTATTCTATTTTAACAGGATGTATATATAGATTATATTAACAAACTAATATATTTATATATATGTCTTAATATTAATCTAATTGAGAAATTAAGTTATAATTAAAAATGTGAAATTTGACTGAATTTTTTTGATTAAAATTGATAGATTACATGATTTAATGTATGTTAACAGTATGTTTAATTAAATATACAATTTTAGTGAAATATTTAAACATTTAAAAAAATAAGTTTTACAAGAGTTTTTAAATATAATGAGTTAACATTAAATATTATCTTATACATATATGTTTGAAAAGGTAAATAAATATATTTTATTTATGAGTAATATTGAAATTAGGATTGAGGTATAATTTTGTGTTTACAGTTAATAATATACACTCAGTGGTTCTCAATCTTTTTAGGACCACGACCCAAATTTTTTTCCGAAAATCGATCGCGACCCCCTTAGTTTTACATTAACAAAATCAAAAAAGTAATTTCAATAAACAAATTTTTTCTATTTTATTAACTATAAAATAACTACTTCTTTATAATAAAAAAAAATAATAATAATACTAATATATAATAAATTTATAATAATTATAATACTTAATTAATAATTAGGCGAATGTGATGGATGCGCTTGTTTCCTGCAATCTTTGATAACAGCACCAACATCGACGTCAATTGTAGTTATTTTTAAACGCAAGGAGTGCGATAGTTGGAGTTTATTTCTGAGTTTGTTTTTTATTCCCACCATTGCCGAAAATCCAACTTCGCACAAGTATGAAGATGAAAAAGGTAGTAATACCTTTAAAGCCTCAGTTGAAAGAGTTGGGTAAGTTTGTTGAGCTGACAGCCAAAACTCAATCAAATGATTGCGGCTATATTTAAGTTTTAATGATGCATCTTCAGACAAATCAATGAGTTCTTCTTCAGCTTTTGTTGAGATTCCTGTGAGTGTGGCGTCCTGAAACGGATTCACAACCCAATTTTTTTTTTGGTATTTTTCTATTTCTTCAAAGAAGTATAATTTAAAGTTATCTTTCAATGAAATTAAATGCAAAGTGATTTGGTTAATTATGTCATCGGGAACTTTTATATTATTTTCGGTTATGAAAGTTTGAAATGTTTCAAAACAATCATAATTTTGCTTTTCAATGTTATTTTGCCATAATCTAATTTTTTCATGGACCGCAAATATATCGGCTCTTTCTGTTCCTTGTAAATATAAATTTAGTTCGTTCAGTTTCGAAAATATGTCGGCTAAATACGTGAGCTTCAAAATGAAATCTTCATTGTGTAACGATTTTGCCAGATCAGTTTTTTCTTTAAGAAACAGTGCAACTTCTTCACGGAGTTCCACAAGTCTTGTTAGTACTTTTCCTCTTGAAAGCCAACGTACATCAGTGTGCAAAAGAAGAGATTTATGAGAACTTCCCATCTCTTCACACAACCTTTCAAATAATCGTGATTGCAATGGCCTTGTCTTAATGAAATTGACCATTTTCACAGAAGTGTTCAACACGATTTTCAAGTTATCCGGAAGATTTTTCGATACTAAAACTTCCCTGTGAATATTGCAGTGAGTTNTCCCTGTGAATGTTGCAGTGAGTCCATGATGCATTCGGACTAACTTCAAGCATTCGAGTTACAACACTACTATTTTTACCACACATAGCTCTAGCACCGTCTGTACATAATCCGATACATTTTACCCAATCAAGACCTTTTTTATTGATATAAGTATTGAGGGTATTGAATATTTCCTCACTAGTACCACGTATAATTGGTTCACAAAATAACATATCTTCATGTGGTCCGTTGTTCCATATATAACGAATGAATACAAGCAGCTGACATAAACCTTGAACATCGGTAAATTCATCTAGTTGTAGTGAGAAAAATCTACTTTTACTGACTCTTTCAATCAGCCGATTTTCTGTCCATTGAGACATGTCATTAATTCTACGTGTAACTGTATCATTTGATAGTGGTATCATTTCGACGTCTTTTGAGAACTTGTCACCAAACATTACTCCAACTGTATCTTTTATTGCTGGCAATACTAAATTCTCTCCGATAGTATGTGGTTTGCCAGCTTTTGCGATTCGTAAACTTATCAGGTACGAAGCGTGCATAGCTTTTTCATTGAACTTGGTGAACTGTGTAATTTTTGTTTTGGATGTGTTCAGTTCTTTCAACTTTGTTTCGAAATAAGAGAGTGGTTTATCTATCAGATCAGGATGCTTAGTCTTAATATGCCGACGTAATTTATTCGGACGCATACTCTCGTTTGCAAGTACTTCAAAACACATTACACACTGTGGTCGTTGTTCATCATTATCTTCTTTCCAAGAAAAACCAATTTTTAGGTACTCTGAATCATACTTTCTTGTCTTTTTTTTTCGTTTTAAAATCGAAGTTGAAGGTTCACTTTCATCAGTTTCAACTTCTCGCTTATTTACCAACCATTTATACATCATATAATTTTTGTAAATAATCTGTCTCAGAAATAGCGCGCACAATAACACCAAGCAATCGATCGCACCAAAACGAACGCACGCGGTACAACACACTCATACACGTTCACGACACATAAACTAAAATTACAAGCCGGCGATGATACAGCGTAACGACTAACGGCTAACTGAAATTTTATAGACAACAGTTGTCTATAAAATTTACCGAGTACTGTCTTTATCGTCATATTTTATCGAAATATTTCTGCGATAACGACGTACCAAAAATATCCGTCCTTATAGTTCTTATATTACTTTATACTTCTATTATAGTTCTATAGTAGTATAGTCTATACAATTAAAAAAAAATAAATTTCTTACAATCTGTATAGTTAAAAAAACTTCTCGCGACCCCCCAAAAATTGACTCACGATCCCCCAAGGGGTCGCGACCCACAGTTTGAGAAACGCTGAGTTAGGCTATATATGATTTTTTTATAATTAGTGTTAAAATTATACAAAATAAAAGTTTTAAATCTATAAGTTAATTAAGTTTGAATCTAAAATTAAAAATGTCAATATTATATTTTAAGGTATGTAAAAATTATTTTTTTTTTGTTTTTTAAAATAATTAAAGTTATGTAAAATGAAAATTTTAAATATAAAGTTTAATAAATAAATATAAAGGTAAAAATACGAAAATTATATGTTAGAATATATAAAAAGAACGTTTTTTTTATAAATAATATTAAGTAGAAGTTCTAAATCTAAAGTTGATTAAATCTAAATGTAATAAATCTAAATTATTGCATCTTCTTGATGTGCATGTTTGTGGCATGTGACCTGCATTGGAATAACATTGTTCTAATGGAATGTTTGGTTTAAATTTATTTATTAATTTGTCTGATGTCTTTCTTCCCTTTGGGGTTGTAATTGGTGTTCCTATTAGCCCTGCCTCAACTGACAATCTATACTTCTTTAAAGTCAAATTTTTACCTTGATTATTGTCCCTGAATAAAATGAACAAATTGATCATTGAAACATCCAAAAAGTGAAAAAAATTCAATGCCACCATTTATGGCTCTTCCTATCAATTTCATAATATGATTTCAGCATATCAGCATAGTCCACATAACCCATATTAGTATTGTAGTCCTTAACAGTCTGAGGGCATTGAATTTGTAGTGTTTTGATGTTTATATTTATTACAAAAATACTACAATTAAAATTTATAATAATTANTGTAGTGTTTTGGTGTTTATATTTATTACAAAATACTACAATTAAAATTTATAATAATTAATACTTTTTAATAATGAAAAATAATTTTATACGTACATAAAAAAAGAGTACAAATAAAAAGTGTCACTGGATTGACGAACAGCGCGAGAATAAAAAAAATACACGGAGTGTTATCGTACTGCAGTACATCTAAGATAAAACATATAAACATATATAAACGCATTCATTGTGACATGTTATTTAACATCTTTGTTAATCCCTACATTACCCCCTTTCCAGTGAAAACGATAATTTTACGTTTAACATACATAGTTACAAATATCAAATATAAAAATACAAATACAAATATAAAAGTGATACAATTCACAATTTACAAAAACCTTACGGGGAGGCGGATGGTTCTTCCTGACTTGGTTTGTTTTGTTTGTATTATTGTTGGTCTTGTAGTTGTATTTCTCTGGTTTTGCTGGTTCGTTGTTATTGATAGATTTGTGTTATTATCTTCATTTTCGTTGAAACATGGCTTCAGTCTGTCTATTGATATGATACATTCTTTTTGCCTAATTAATAATTTAAAGGTTTTTTCGTATCGTTGAACAATTTTGTACGGCCCTTCATATGGTTGTTCTAGCGGTTTCTTGACCCGGTCGACCCGAACGAAAACGTGTGAACAGGATGCTAGATTTTTATATATAAAAACATTTTTACTTCCTTGGTTTGAAGTTGACACTGGGCGTATGGTTTCCATTGTTTTCTTTAGTGTTTCAGCAAAGGAACAAGGGTCTGTTGCCACTGATGACTGCATAAAAAACTCATTAGGTAATCTAATCGTACTTCCAAATACAATTTCTGCAGGTGTTAAATCTAGATCTTCTTTAATCACTGATCTAAGGCCCATAAGAACTGAGGGGAGTACATCTGTCCAGTGCTCAGTTTCGTAACACTTTATTGCCGTTTTAAGTGATCGGTGGAATCGTTCAACTAAACCATTGGCTGGTGGATGATATGCTGATGTACGTATTCTTCTAAACCCTAAAATTTGCGTTACTGCGGTGAACAGAGTAGACTCAAATTGCCGTTCTTGATCTGTTGTCAATCTCTCCATAACTCCATATCGAGCTATCCAGCCTTCAAATAACGTACGAGCTATGGTTTCAGCCGAAATATCCTGAATTGGAAAAACTTCTGGCCATCTAGAAAATCTGTCTATAGCGGTTAAACAGTAAGTACAACCACGTGACATGACCATAGGACCGATTATATCGATGTGTACATGTGAAAAACGATCACTCGGCACATTAAAAATATCACATGGACTTATAACATGTCGCGTTATTTTTGACTTTTGACACGCTAAACACGCACGAGTCCATTTCACACAATCACTGTTCATCGACGGCCACACGAAACGACTACTCACTAATTTTATTGTTGACCGTATACCTGGGTGAGCGAGATTATGTAGACAATTGAACACATTGCGGCGAAATTGTTTGGTAAGATACGGTCGTTGTCTACCATTAGAAGTATCGCAGTAAATATTTGTGTTCGTAGTGGGCATATTTACGAGCTCTAGTTTTATCGATAATTCCGGTTTTGACAATAACGACAATAGTTCTGCGTCTGCTAACTGGTCGTAAGATAACTTTTCATAATCTAGCGGTGGCGGTGCATTTATAGTTTCTATTCTCGATAACGCATCGGTCACTGTATTCTGTGTACCTGTTACGTGCCGTATTGATGTTGTAAACTGACAAATTNCGTATTGATGTTGTAAACTGACTAATAAAATCAAGTTGTCGTGCACGTCGAGGTGGTAATTTATCTGAGTGTTGTGTGAATGCGTATACTAACGGCTTATGGTCCGTAATTATTTCAAATTCACGGGCTTCCAGCATATAGTGAAAATGATTAATGGCTTCATATACCGCAAGAAGTTCACGATCGTATGCACAGTATTTTTTTTGTGTTTGGTCAAGTTTGCGAGAGAAAAAAGCAAGTGGTTGCCAAACGCCGTTTTTAAATTGTTCTATTACTGCGCCTATCGCCATATCTGACGCGTCACATCGTAATTGAATATTCGCGGCCGGATCTAGATACGATAATGTTGTGGCTCGCTTTAAGTCTTCTTTAGTTTTCTCGAACGCTCCCGTTGATTGATCGGTCCATACAATTGGTGTTTTGTCATTTTTTTTTGCTGTTTTTAAGATAATCGTGAAGAATAGCTTGTGTACTTGCTGCGTTTGGGATACAACGGCGGTAAAAATTGCACATAGCCAAAAAACGTCGAAGCTCTTGTACATTATTCGGCCGTGGATATTTGTCTATCGCTTCCAGTTTTTCAGGATTTGGTCTAAGACCGTTACCCGATATGATGTATCCTAAAAATAGTACCTCTTCTTTTCCAAATATACATTTATTCGTATTTATCACAATGCCGTACTCACTGAGTCGTTGTAATACACGTTCGAGGTGACTCAAATGCTCTTGTGTTGAAGACGATGCAATTAAAATATCGTCCAAATACACTTCACAAAAATCTAAGTCTTTTAAAACACCGTGTATGAAACGCTGAAATGTTTGAGCTGCAGTTTTAAAACCGTATCCCATCCGAACAAACTCAAATAACCCAAAAGGTGTTGTAATAGCTGTTTTTGGAATATCGGACGGTTCTATTGGTATATGGTTAAAAGCTTTAACCAAATCGATTTTTGAAAAAATACTTTTATTTTGCAATCGCTGTGTGATGTCTTGAATGTGTGGAATGGGGTATCTGTCCGGTAATGTGACTGCGTTTAACCTACGGTAGTCGCCGCACGGTCTCCATTCACCGTTCTTCTTTTTTACTAGTTGTAATGGGCTGGCCCACGGACTATTTGAAGGTCGGCATATGCCCTGTTCTACTAAATAAGCAAATTCTTTTTTTGCGATCTCTAGTCGATCCGGAGGAAGGCGTCTTGGTTTAGCGAAGAGTGGTGGTCCTTTAGTGATGATATGATGTGTAACGTTATGTTTAATATCCATTGGGATCATGTTTGTTCTTAATACTTGCGGAAATTTTTTGAGTAACTTACTGTACGCTGAATCGTCTTTAAAAGCGAAGATGCCCGAGGATATCGTCTTTTTAACTTTTCCGGCGGTGGCTAAATTGGTATTTTCATCAATTAGGCGTTTACTTCTTAAGTCCACTAATAAGCCGAAGTAGTGGAGAAAGTCAGCACCTATAATTGGTTTACTGACTGCTGCGACAATAAATTTCCATTTAAAAACACGTCTTAAACCTAAATTTACAGCAATTAATTTGTCACCGTATGTTTTTATTATTGACCCGTTGGCTGCGAATAAAGTAGGGTTACCATCTTTTATTTTATTGCGTTTCTGCTTAGGATCTGCTGGCCAAACCGAAAAGTCCGCACCAGTATCAATTAAGTATTGAGTTTTTGTTATTTTATCAACAATAAATAGACGACGAGATTGAAACTCACTACCGTCGGTCGTCTCGACAGTAGATCGTTTATAGTTTTCCGACGTGTGCTGGTATTTACATGGTGGTTTGCATTTAGTAGTCTTATCTTTGAATCAGTAATGATAATAACATGTATCATATCGTGGTCGTGAATTGTCTCGGCGCATAGGTGATTTTGAGTGACGCCTATTGTAGCTACGAGAGTTGCTGTTGCTAAGTCGCTCTACTGCTTGTGCGAGTGCTGCGATCTGGTGTTCCAATTTTCTTATTGTCGTTGCATCGTCAGCTTGTTCATGTGACTGACGGTTTGTGACCTTGTCACTAATGTTGGCAATGGAAAAACAATCATTTCGGCTGTCNTGGAAATGGAAAAACCATCATTTCGGCTGTCCGATACTTCGATAATTTTATCTGCCATCGAAGCTAAGTTATCCAACTTGTCGTTGCTAGCTGAAATGATAGTTTTTACCTGATGTGGTAACCTTTGTATCCATAGTGTTTTGAGTATTTCATCAGTTACTTTTCCATTAGCTAGTTGACGCATTTCTGAAAGAAAATGGGATGGTTTTCGATCACCGAGTTCGGCTTCGGTCAGTAATTTTTTAAGCCGACATTGTTCAGATTCGGAAAATCTTTCAATGAGCCGGANTTTTAAGCCGACATTGTTCAGATTCGGAAAATCTTTCAATGAGCCGGGTTTTTAATGCTTCGTACATTTTCGTTTCTGGTGGATTGAGTATTATGTCACTAACTTGAGCAAGAATTTCACTTTCCATAGAGGAAACAACATGATGAAATTTACTTGTGTCAGCTGTAATTGTGGTTGTATAAAAAACGGATTCAATTTGTTTGAACCAAAGTTCTGGGTTGGTGCGCCAGAAAGTTGGGATTTTAAATGCTCGCGTTGAATTCATATTGGGCTCGCCGTATTCGATATGGTCTCGGCCATCATTACCGGTCGCATCGTCACGCACACTTACTATCGCACTATCGGATTTGTTGTTCATTTTAGAGGTCACCAATTTGTAGTATTTTGATGTTTATATTTATTACAAAAATACTACAATTAAAATTTATAATAATTAATAATTTTTTAACACTGAAATATGATGTACATATACATAAAAAAGAAAAGTACAAATATTAAGTGTCACTGGATTGACGGACAGCGCGATACTAAAAATAATACACGGAGTGTTATCGTACTGCAGTACATCTAAGATAAAACATATAAACATATATAAACGCATTCATTGTGACATGTTATTTAACATCTTTGTTAATCCCTACAAATTTTATTAGTTGATCCATCTTTATTTTTTCTTGTACACGATGTGATATGATCAGGATTATGAAAGTATTGATAAAAATTAAATACAGCGGTTATCCCTCCATTTGATCCACGACACTCCTGTTGTAGATATACGTCTTTCACTATCTCCTTTTTTAAATTTTTTGTGACTTTATTGGTTTTTTGGTAAACATTTTCTATTAAAACGAACTGTACCTCACCCATAAATACCGTCTTGCAATAATTCTTCAAGAAGTTTAAATAAAGTAAAAAAATTATCGAAGTAGATACAATGATATATGTTCTTTATGTTCAGTGTCAAATCTTGTACAACACGTTTTCCCAGACTGTTTTCCACAAAATCTGTTTTACCTGTGTAAATTTGGAACTCGCCTATATAATCAGATTGATCTGCCCGGATCTACACTTTATACCATTTTATAGGCTTCATGGACATGTATTGTTTGATAGAATGTCTTCCTTCGATCAAACGTTTTTGATAAACAATCTTTTAGTGGCCTAACTTTGTAGAGTTTATTATAATTAATCAGGGTGTGAAAAAAACCAGGTTTTTTAGGAAAAAACCCAAAAAACCGGGTTTTTTTGGTTTAAACCAGGTTTTTTCGGTTTAAACCAGTTTTATTCCCATATGTTATCATTTGTAGTACATATAATATATTTTGTAATAAAAAACATTGCAAAGAATAATTTTATAAAATATAACTCATACTTCACCAGAGAATAATTAAAAAAAAAAAAACTAACTGAAATCACTCTAAATTTTGCTACATTGATGTTTAAAACATTGATATATAGCATTGTTTTACAAATCAAGAATATCTAAATTAGGTAAAATGTACTTACCAAGTGTATAACTGAGAGCATAGTAGTACATGGCAGAATTGATTAAAACTTTGATAAGAAAAATATTAGAAATAAAGATTTACAGAAATGTTAATCACACAAAGTAACAATAATATTTATTTATTTAACGATTTATTTAACAGAAATGCCAGTTTGGCAGCCTTTTCTACCCCTTATTGATTCCTCAATTTACTGTGTACAAAACCAAAGGTAGAAAAAATTCTTTCA